CCAATTACAGTATATTGTTAATAACTGTTCTATAATATTAGCTGTTATAGTTAATGTCTTACCGTGACTAATTTATAAATTAAATTTTGTCATAGGTATGTATGTATAGGAGAAAACATAGTATATATAGAGTTCAGCATTATCCAAAGTTCAGTATTATCCATAGTATATATAGAGTTCAGTATTATCCAAAGTTTCAGACATCCACTGGAGATCATGGAACACAACCACTGTGAATTAAGGGAGATACTGTAGTTTCTGATCTTTATTGCATTTTGAGTGTATTTAGAGGTCTGCTCCTTGAACCATGCTCGTTTGAGCAGCACCACCCACTGCCCACCCTCTAGAGATAATAAGTAAATAATCAAATATCCAAAATAAGCTTTCCTCTTAGAAATAAGGAGATGAAGAGTAGTAAGCAGCAATGAGCAGTGGCATGGGTGGTACAGTTTGAACTTTAACATTTTGGCTTTCTTCACGAGTAGAGGTACTGATTCTTTTTCCTCCAAGATGCTCTTCTTTACACTTACACTACTATACTATATAACTACTATTACTACTATAACTTCTATGATCATCCTTTAGGATTAGAAAAAAATCTGAAACCATTTATTTCTTCATGACAAGTGAAATGGTAAAAAAAAAAAAAAAAAAAAAAAAAAAGGAAAATAGATAAAGAAACATTTTACAGTACAAGCAACCACAAACAGCTCAGGTGAACATCAGAAATGGGGAAGTATCCGGACAATTTTGCAGCATTGAAGATTGAAGGAAGTCTTTGAGGTAAGTAATTGAATTAGAGACAGCTAGCATAGCTTTATGAAAGCGATCCTTGTGTACCTTACTAGTTGGAATGCTTTAGAGGGCATTACTGCCATAGAAAGAAAATGGAACACAATGGATGTCATATAATTGTTAAAAAGCCATTGAATGTTATTAACAATGAAGATTATTGGCTAAGACTGCATCTATTGTGTAAGGTAAAATAGCTTGTTGGATTAAAAAACTGTTCAAAACCTGCAAAAAGTGAGTGAATGTTAATGGTAATTTTTTTTAAAACTGAAGAGAGGTTATCAGTAAGGGTGAAATAATAGCTTTGAAAGCAAATGACTAAAATTGGAAAAATACACACGATCCAACCTCATTACATTGGACTATTGTGGTATCTTCTCTGACACTAGGTACTAAATTTCCAGGTACTTTTAATCGTATTATGTTTACAGTCTTAAAATAAACCCCCTTTCTGAAGAAGAGATGGAAAGAAAGGGCCACATTTAACAGAATACGATTCAGTGTGTTGACTGTAATTATTGGAGCACAAATTCTTGACTTTTTCAACTTAGCTAGTTAAAAATTACAAACATACCTTTTCTTCTATCTGTAGAGACAACATAACCAAAAATCAATGCTATCTTACCTATATTATTTACCCGTGTACATACAAACTTGGCTTACAGTAAATTATTAACATGCTATATATCTACAAACAGGTAAGCAAATTTGACACTGCTAAAAGATCTGACTCATCATGGTCTATCAAAAAGACTCCGTCTATAGCATTAATTCCTCTTAGGAAGTTTGGACAAGTCAGAATGACCCAAGCTTTTTATTGTATCCAATTCAGTCATAAAAGGTGGGTAGAATCTCCAAATCTTGGGCCGGGTACAGTGGCGCACGCCTGTAATTCCAGCACTTTGGGAAGCCAAGGAGGGCGGATCACCCGAGGTCAGGAGTTTGAAACCAGCCTGGACAACATAGTGAAACCCTGTCTCTACTAAAAAGACAAAAATCAGTCGGGTGTGGTGGTGGGCACCTATAATCCCACCTACTTGGGAGACTGAGACAGGAGAATCACTTGAACCCGGGAGGTGGATGTTGCAGTGAGCCAAGATTCTACCACTGCACTCCAGCCTGGGCGACAGAGTGAGATGCCATCTCAAAAAAAAAAAATCTCCAAACCTATTTCTTTAATCTTGAGTGTAGTATTTTTAGGATACATAAATCTGTTGTGGCAAAGAGTTTGTTTTGTTTTGATGGCTTATGATGGAAGTCATATTTTCTGCAATCTGTTCTAAGCAACTTTTTTTTTTTTTTTTCGAGACGAGTCTCGCTCTGTCACCTGGGCTGGAGTGCAGTGGCCTGATCTCTGCTCACTGCAAGCTCCACCTCCCGGGTTTATGCCATTCTCCCGCCTCAGCCTCCCCAGTAGCTGGGAATACAGGTGCCTGCCACAACGCCCGGCTAATTTTTTATACTTTTAGTAGAGATGGGGTTTCACCATGTTAGCCAGGATGGTCTCGATCTCCTGACTTCGTGATCCGCCCTCCTCGGCCTCCCAAAGTGCTAGGATTACAGGCATGAGCCACCACGCCTGGCCTCTAAGCAACTTTTAAAGAAAAAATAAAACAAAACATAATCAGGGTAGATTCTACAACAAGTAATTGAGTGAAAGTACTATAAGTTACAATCCAATTGTAAATCTGATTGTAAATCAGAAAGTTCTATAAGTTATAATCTGATTGTAAATCTATGTCATAGTTTAAATTAGATTTTAAAAACTAAAAAACCTTATGAGACACTATTGAATCCTCAAAATTATGGAGAATTGATATTCATATTGATATGTATATATGCATATGCTGTTGTCTGTTAATGATGACAGCTGTTACAATAACAAGGAATTGCATAAAATTCATTTGAACACAATGGGTCTGATTCAGCAGCTTGTATCTTTTAAGAATATCTTCAGTAAAGCACTTTATTGTACGTAAACACTACTTTACATTTTGTAGTAAGTATTATATACTCTACTATATATTTTGCTCATTGACCAGTTACATTAGAGAATGGATTTCAGTGACAAAGCTATTAAAATATGGAGAGTATCTTATGTTAAAAGAGTTTGGTGTAGCCAGATTGTAGTGGTGATTACATGAATCTATACGTACATTAAAATATTCACAGAATAGTATACCAAAAGAAGTCCATTTTACTGTATGATAATTCAAATAATAAAATTAACTCTTTTTTTTTTTTGCAATGGGTGTCTTCATCACATTGCCCAGGCTACATTGCACCACCACAACCAGTCAAAACTAATATTGAAGATGTAATAGTTTAGTTTTTTAAAAATGTTTGTGCTAGGCTCTGAAGGATAAAATATCACCTATGGCATAAAATAAACATTTTTTAAATTATAAATAATGTTAAGACTATAAATAACAAGAAAAAATATTTTAAAGTATATCCCCCCAAATATCACAAAACAATCTATCACAGATGGAATCTGGGACTCTGAGCTTTTCCGAGGGAGAATTCCAAGGCTAGTAAATCTTCACAACATAAACTTCTTACAACCTCAAAAGATGAGATGGCTTTCCTAGCGTTTACTAGTTGGGAATAAATATTTTGCTCACCAATTAATAAAAATAATTGTAAAATTGTATTTGCTTCATAGAATAAGAACTGGAAGGAAACTTAAAGAATCATTTGATTATCTTCAGGCAGGTGTAAATAGAGGTATTTAACCAAAGCTTACAAATCTCTTCTCAGAGATCTCCAAACAAAGAGATTCCACAATGGCCACCAATGAACATATTCTCATGTTTCAGCACTAGGATAGCTAAGCTGGGGATGTGAGTCTGTGTTTCTGCTGAAACAGCTCCTATGTTAAGTTCTTTCATCATCTTGGATCTCTCAAGGTATGGAGAACTATTATAAAAATTCCTCTTCTAGAAAATATCCATGCTTTTCAAGACATTAATTGGATTCTCTCTTTAGCCATTCTTCGTCAAGTTTAACAAACCTACCCTTGATGTGCTATGCTCATAGAGATGACCATAAGACATTTCTATCATAATAGCTCTTTCTGTTCACTTTGGGTTGTCCACATCCTTTGTGTTTTAAAGAACAGTGACCAAAGTAGGCCCTGTACTCAGCCCAAGTCCCAAGAGTAGAGTGCTAGAGTGCTCCCTGGGCCATGTATACTATGTTTCTCTTTCTTTTTCTTTCTTTCCCTCTTTCTTTCTTTCTTTCTGCCTGTCTCTTTCTTTCTTTCCTGTCTCTTTCTTCTCTCTTTCTTTTTCTATCTCTCTTTGTCCTTCCTTCTTTCCTTCTTTCTTTCCTTCCTTCCTTCCTTCCTTCCTTCCTTCTCTTTGTTTTTAGCATTCTTGGGAGAAGAATGTGTTGTATATACAAACCACATACAAATGGGCCTCATGTAAAACACAAAACCCCAGTAAAGAAGCACACGGTTCTTTAGTTAATTTTTTAGTTAATGATGGAAGTGCATGTAAGAATATAAAAAAGGAGTATCCTCCAGCCAAAGATGTACAAGTAAGTGACTGAAATAAAAAAGAAAACTCCAGGCAGTAACCAGAGTAGTTACCATTCCCTTTCTATCAACACTAGGGCGGATGTGTAGACCCCTTTCTCTACAGCAGCAGAACAAAAGTAAACGAGTTTTATAATTGGCAGTCATAACAACTTACAGATGACTACACAATTAAATGAGGAGCCATCTCTGATATTTGTACCATAATAGGAACAGAAATATCTAGACCTATAGACATAAAGTTGATGAAGACACTTGACATTAAATTTCAAACTTCAAGTAACACCCATAGACCGAGATTTTTTTGTAATTCCTAAGTCAGTCCTGATTCAGAGAAGTGACCAGGTTGGCATAGGCCAACTTTGGATATGAACAGGACCTAAAGGAGGCCCAGCAGAGACCCATAATCAGCTAGTTGATGAGGAGGAAGACCAAACACAGAATCAGAACAAGGGATTCTGTAGTCTTAAGGACAAAAGGGTTTGTCTGCCCATTATTGTGGAAAGGATCCATACTTCAGGTGAACTCTCATATATTTTTTACTGACTGGCATATTATTCATTCTGTGGTATATTTCATTTCTCTTCACTGAACCTTTTGCAATCTTTAAAAAAATTCCTGCTTATGTACTCATTCTTTATTTTTTTATTTTTTGTTTTGTAATTTAAAAAATGCGGAACGGTTCACAAATTTGCATGTCATTCTCACACAGGGGCCATACTAATATTCTCTGTGTTGTTCCAATTTTAGTGTATATGCTGCCGAAGCAAGCACTACATTCCCTTTCATGTGCCTGAACTTGGTGGACACAAGAGAGCTGGCTTCTAAATTCTGTTGCTCAGAGTACATAAAAACAAACAAGGCCGGGCACGGTGGCTCACGCCTGTAATTCCAGCACTTTGGGAGGCCGAGGCGGGTGGATCGCGAGGTCAGGAGATCGAGACCATCCTGGCTAACACGCGAAACCCCGTCTCTACTAAAAATACCAAAAAAAAATTAGCCAGACATGGTGGTGGGCGCCTGTAGTCGCAGCTACTCGGGAGGCTGAGGCAGGAGAATCACTTGAATCCGGGAGGCAAAGCTTGCAGTGAGCCGAGATCACGCCACTGCACTGCAGCCTGGGCGACAGAGCGAGACTCCTTCTCAAAACAAACAAACAAACAAATAAACAGCTTCCCCTGTTACTGTTTGCATGTGCCACCTATTAATTACCCAAGGGTGAGACCTATTTTGTGAAGAGGAAAAGAAGTTCTGCTCTAGAAACTGTTGAGTGAAGTTTTTGTTTTATATTGCAGGTGGGGGAGGATTGCAGCAGGGAGGTTTCCATGAAATTGGCATTGTCAGTTGCCCAATGCAGAACTTGTGGTAGCTTGAGTTAGTCACTGTTTTAAATTCCTGAAAAAGCCAGGTGTGGTGGCATGCACCTCTAGTCCCAGCTACTTGGGAAGCTGAGGTGGGAGGATGGCTTTAGCCCAGGAGTTCTGTGCTACACCAATCGCATGTTTGCACTAAGTTCAGCATCAATATGGTGACCTCCTGGGAGCAAAAGACCAACAGGTTGCCCAAGGAGGGGTGAACCGGCTCAGGGCAGAAATGGAGCAGGCCAAAACTCCAGTGCTGATCAGTAGTGGGATCACATCTGTGAATAGCCACTGCATTCCAACCTGGACAACATGGTATCTTATTTAAAAAAAAAAAAAGAAAAAAAAATCCTGGAAAAAATAAACCCTGAAAATTGTGGGCGCATTTCCAATTTTTCTCCGCTTCCCTGACAAGAGGTATTGGTGCAAAAGAAATTGCAATTTTTGCCATTAAAAGTAATGACAAAAACTGCAACTACTTTTGCATCAACCTAATAATATGGGTCCGGGGAGGAAACCAAAGATTAATGCCTCAAATAAAGCAAAAGTCTTGTCGTGTAACTGCCCTTCTTAGACTACTTGGGCTGCTATAACAAAATACCATAAACTGGGTAGCTTTAAAACAACAGAAATTTATTGCTCACCATTCTGAAGACTGGGAAGTGCAAAATCGAGGCAGATTTGGTGTCTGGTGATGGCCTGCTTTCTGGTTTATAGAGGGCACCTTCTTGCTCTGTCCTCACAGCAAGATGGAAGGGGTAAGGGTCTCTCTGGGGTCTCTTTTATAAGGACACTAATCCCATTCACGAGGGCTCCCTCATGAATCACTTCCCAAATCACTTCCCAAAGTCCCCATCTCGTAACGGCATCACCTTAGGGGTTAGGATTTTAACATGAATTTTGGAGGGACACAAACATTCAGATGATAGCACTGCCCAAACGCTAAATGCAAACTCATTGTTGTTCAATGTGTTATTTAAAGGCTGTGCATTATGGCATTATCGTCCTCTTGTCCTCTTTCCTTCTGTAATTTGTCCATGTTAGGCTGCTCTATCTTCTGGCAGTTCTCCTCTCCCTTCTCTCTGGGTTTCATTCCCTAACAAGGGCTCTGTGCCTGTCTCCCTGCCCAAACCCATTGGTAACTGTAACTACCACCTTAGTCTTGCCCAGTGGCAATATCTTCACCCATAGATTTAACTGAGGCAAAACTATTACCTGTTAAATAACTTTAGCTCGGCAGCATAAACACCTGAGTTAAGAAAAAATTACTAGTACACAAGTCATACATAGTGTTGGGGAATATTAGTTCTAAACATCTGACTTAAGAAGAAATGACTAGGAGACAAGTCATACATAGTGTTGGAGAATACTAGTCCTACAAGATATAAACAGATAAGGCAGGTGAGGTCCAAGCCAGTTTCTCTATGGGGAGATGTCTTCCACTTAATATAACTGAATACATTACAAAAGAAAGAAAGAAAAGAAGTAAAGGAAGAAAGAAAGAAAAGAAAAAAAAAATCCAATAAATCCACACTCAAAAAAAAGGGAGGCAAACTGGTATGGACAGAACAATTAGGAAAACAACGATAAATTTCACTTTACATGTGCTAGACAAAGGAGTTAATGTCATGAAAACTTAACCATAACAAAATATTTTGGTGAACAGTATTTTGTCCTATATTAAGAAATCAATGTCCATAGATACAAGTTTGAGTTTAAAGAAACTAAAAGCTTAAGATGGCCAGATTAAAGATGTCTTTCATTTTCCTCTTTATAAGTTTATGTATTTTTTAAATTATTTGGAAGGAAATTTTGGAATCGAAGAAAATTTAAAAACTGAAAATTCTTTTATATGTTTTTCCTGTTGAATTAGTATTCTGCTTATGAAATAGGAACATGATATCCCCAAGCTGCTGTTGATGTCATCCAGTTGTAGCTAACTATGTGCTTAAAAAATAATTGAAGTGAGGATGAGAAACATATCTTACAGAAAGTGACAATATTATGCCTTTATACTTTGTCAATATGATCCCAAATGTGAAGATATTTGAAAATATCTGTTACTGATTTTTTTTTTCTTTTCATCTAGATTAACAGCACTACAGAGCTATCTATATTTTGGTAGTCACCAAACTTTTTAAAATGTCAATATCATTATACATGTTATCCATTCTCTACACCAGGATTTTTCAACCTTGGAACTATTAACACTTTGGGCCAGACAATTCTCTGTTGTAGGGTGCTGTCCTCTGTAGTGCAGGATGTTGAGCAGCATATCTGATCTCTACCCAGTAGATGAGAGTTGTGATGACTAAAAACATCTCCAGACATTGCCACATGTCCCCTGGGGGGACAAAATTGTCCCTGGTTGAGAAACACTGCTGTATAGTGAGTTATTACTATCCAAATATTTTGATTATCTTTTTAACCATTACCTATTACCCCAGCCACATTAATCATGCCATGATTCACATTGATCACAATGATTAAAGAAATTATAGATTTACTGTGGTGCTCAGGCACTTACCATTAGGCTATTAGACAAAGTCTGGGAATATAAGGGGAAAAAATTCCCATAATTACAAAAAATAAAAGATTACATGGAAAAGCAAAGGTGTTGGCTGTACACTAGGATCAAAGGACATTCATTTGTTGAAGTAGTCTGAGTGACTCAAAGACGTACAGCAGCTATTATTCACTTAGCTACAACACAGCAAATATTAACACATATTTTGAAAAGGAGAGATGCTGCTTCATGTGACAATACTGATAATATTTAAGAAGAGAGGTTAGTGACTCATCAGACACTCAGGCAGGCATGATTTTTCCCCTTAAATGTCACTAATGATTTTTCTTACTGCCTTTTTTATTTAAGCACATGTTCAGTGGCACCCACAATCAAAATTCTATTACAAAATGCAATATCGAATATCTTACTTTATTTTATTTAAATAAATATTGTAAATGATCATAGTGAGTAACGTAAGCAATAAGTATTATTTGTACCACCATTCTTCTAGATTGTAGTGATTTTTATTTCATCACTGTGAATGGTGGATGGTCTTTTGTCTCTTCTAAATGTCCCATTCCTCATGGGATAAATTAAAATGACCCATAAGCAAAGTTAAGTTTTAAGCGGATATTTTTTTTCAAATAGACAGCCTTGCCTTGTACTATTATCCTCCAATTTCGTTTTTACATTTTCAAAAATAATATGTGAGTTTTAAAACTTGTTTAATTTAAAATGACTCTTTTTTAAAAAAGAAAACACTGTAGTGGGATGCCGGGATTGCATTCATCCCAGCATGCCCCACCACTGTTCTTTGGATGGCAATCACAGGACCCAGACATCAAGCTGTGGAAGAGATTCTTCCAAGCAACAGCATCTGGCTCTTTGGCAAACTGAACAGGCAGTTGCCCTGGTGGCTTTGGAGTTGCCTCTGGGTCTGTCACAGGGTAAGGCTGCTGATGGAGTGTCTGGATTCTCATCTCCTTTTCATTTCACTGTCTTTCTCATATACATTTTGGGCATCAAGAGACCCACTGTCTTCCATAAGGCAAATACTGCCCTCCTTAAGCCTGATGAACTTTTAAATAAACCCTGTTGTACTTCCATAAGTATCCCTTTCCATTGCCCACATCTCTTACGGAAGTGTAAAAATAGGCAAGCATTCTGGCTCAGCAACACTAGCATTCTATTTCACACCCCACCTACAGAGAGAATCAGAAATTCAATGCTCTCTTCTCAGTCCTGAATATTTTAAGCTTATATTTTCACCTTCTTTACTCATAATAGATCTTTTTGCCAGTTAAATTTAATAAATTCATATTTATAATATGAATAGCTACCTAATCTCATAAAAACTTTTTTTTTTTTTCATTCTTAGGATCACACAATCTAAGCTGGTAAGGTGGTATAAAGACCGTAGGAGCTTAGTTTGAAGAATTTATGGCACTTTAAAATCATAAGTGCAGTCCTTGGAACAAACAAACACCTTGAATACCAGAATCAGCAGCTCCAGAACAAAGGGGCTCTCATACCTTCTTAGCTGTGAAGGAAATTAAAAAGACCAAATTTGAAAAATAAAGAATGAGTTTTTAGAGGTTTGGGGATTAAAAAAAAAATTCCTCAACGTGCTGAATGATTTGCATGAAAACTATTAATCAATATGGCTTCTCTACAGACCACAGGCTATGCACGGGCACTATTACCCACAATTCATACCCAAAAGGTAAAGTACTATTGGTGAGGATGTGGCTCAAAGTCTCTAGTGTGTCCAAACACACACTAGATCAGTAGGACTGATTTGTAAGAAGTAGCATTTAATTCTTCCTGTGAGAATTCTTCAGAAAAAAAGAAACCTTCATGCACTGGCCACCTCATGGAGACTCAGTTTTAATCTGTTATTTGAT